AAAAAAAAAAAAAAAAAAAAAAACAAAGGTGACACCAAAAACCATCAACTCGAGATATAAGCTTTTAGAAAACTACAGGGGATTTTCTACTACAATCAATACCAGAGGAAAACAGACAGTTTCAGCATAAAAAAATCAAAGCCAGAAGAGAATGACACATATTTTTCCAGATACCCCCTTTACAATCCTCTTCCTCATTCCAAGACCTAATCACATCCTCAGTAGAACATCTCAGATATTCCCTCTCGGAATCTTAAGGGTGAAATCCAAATGCCACTCCCCCAGAGGCAAGGACACTCCCCCCATGGAGAGCCTAGGAACAGGTTTCTCCCAGTTTCAAGCAAGTGGGCAAAGCTAAGGCGTGTACTTAGGACAGGAAAGATGCTCTCCATCTGCCAAAATGAGGAGGGTACTTGTCACTCTTGTTTGACAGAGTGGGGGGAGGGGGAAGGTGGCGAGGACCCAAATCTTAAGAATGGCTGCACCTGATGGGCCCCGAATCTCAAATGTAGTCATGCCAGATTGGTGTGGATATGAGAAAGCAGCTCAGCAGCAGAGGTGGTTTTTAAAGGCAAGAACTTCCCTGTGAGGAGCTACGTGGCACTGAGCAAACAGTGCTTGTTCTCCCCCACTCCCTGCTTCCGCCCCAACCCTTTTCCCCTTTGGTTACCAGTTGCTCCAGATGCCGTAGAGGAGTTCAACAAAAGCGAAAGAGAGGTTCAGGCACAGGAAGAAAAACAGGTTCCGAGACGTCTTGTCCGACAGGATAGACCTGGGCATGACATAAGTGGGGAAGAGTCGGCGAGTCAAAGGGGCGCCGGGACCCGGGGGCTGGACCCCCCTTTCAAGACCCTCCCAGTCCATACGCTCCTTTCCCTCCCAAGCGAGGGTGTCCCTGACGCTCCCTCCCTGGACCTCGGGCCATCCTTAGGTTCTGGGCCTTCTCCCCGTCTGCCGGACACCCACTTCCCGCAAACACAGCACCCCGCACCTAAACCAGCCCGAGATCTTGCCGAACAGATTGAACTTGGGTGGTTTGTATTCATCGTCCTTGATGGACAGGGGCAACATCTTCAATGCCCGGCGAAGGGCCGGGTCTACTCCCCTCTAGAAGTGGCTTCGTGGGTGATGGTAGTGACAGTGGTGACGCCTCAGACGGGAATCCCCAGCGCTAATCCCGGGCCGCGCGCCGCTTGCAGACACAGACACACGCCCGGGAACTCGCCGACTTCCGGCCCGGGCCGCGCAACGCGTCCTGGGACTGGAAAGCGGGAAGGCGGGGTCGAGGGCGGGACCTGCGTGGTGGGCGGGGCTCATGGCCGGACGGGGTGGGTGCTGCGCCGCGGTTGTGAGGGGCGGGACGCCGTAGCGGGTAGTACTAGGTGGTAGAAGGGGCCGACCCCGGGTGAAGTCCTCCACCTGGTCGCCGGAAGGAAATCCTGAGGTGGCACCGGCGGGCTGGGTGCTGGGAGGTGGAGCGCCGGCTCACGCCCACCCTCACCGCCTAATACAGACGTTCCCGGATGGATGCGCTGGCTCCCAGAGCCTGCCCTTTCTCCATTTCCATTAGTATTAAATCCCCGTGCATTTGGTCGCAAAGCCTAAGAATCTAGGCAACGACGTGTTTTCTTGCCACCATTCCTCGGGAAGCGCGAGTGGCAGTTTTGCTGGGTGAACTCTGGGCGCCCCAATTTTAGTGACCCACCCCACCTGGTCTCCGAAAACAGCGTCTGACCATACACTGCCACGCAGGAGGCAATCAATAGATGTCTTTCTAAGGAATGTTGGAGCCCTTTAAAGGGAGCGCCAAAGGGGCCGTGTTCGAATGGAGGTTTGGTTAATACGTTGCTTCCCCAACAATCTCAATCCGCTGATAACCCAAAACTCGAGTTCGTACATAGGTCGCCCCGGGATCGCAGCCGTGGCCGTAATTCCTGTCAGAGCCTCCCTGCCCGTTTCAAGTGCAGGAGAAGCGAGCTGGCGGTGGGACGCAAGGGCGTGTGCCGGTGGGCCTGTCCCGGCACCCTGGGTCACCCTTGGTCGTTGGGACACTCCCTCGGGCGTCTTTCCGGAACATTATTTGGGGAAGGGCAGGTCCATCACGTGAATGACTAAAAGTTGTTACCTTTTGGAAGAAATGGGGCAAAGCAGGACTGGCTTTTGGATGTGGGCTAGAAACTACAAAACCGAGCTTCTTGGGAATTGCCTTTTGGTCTAACAGGAAGTGGCGCCTCAGAAAAGGGAAGGGGGGCCACCGGGTACTGCCCCCTGCTTCAGGCGCTCACTTTGCGGGAGGCGATTTTTCCCGGTTATTCGTCCAGAGAAGGAGGCAGGGTGGATGCACGCTGCTGGGTTTAGAAAAAAACAATAACAAAAAACAAAAGAAGTGAGCAGGCGAGACGCCCCTTCCGTTTTATGATACCTTAGCTGCAAGCAAATAAATCGGCTGCCCCGCTGCAGTCTCTGCCCTGGAGGTAAGGCAATAGCAAAATGCTCTCGTGTTAAAAAATTTTGCACTGAGGATGAAGCATTTTTTGCTCTCATTCTTGGAACTTTGTGCGTATGCGGGGGGGGGTGGGGAGGGTGGGGGAGAGTAGTGATTCGGTGGTTTTATTTTTGAAAAAAAGACTAATTCTAAAATTCGTGTTGATTAAAACCACTGTGTAAAAACAACTAAATTGCAGAAATTAAGTTGTGGAAAGAGTATTTTGTCGTTGTCTTTCTTGGTGTACATTTCATTAGTATTTTAACTTAAACATAGAAATATTTTCAATTAGTAGTATTTACTTATATTTTTAAAGAAGCTTTTATATTAGCCTTAGCCTTTGAACTTTACTGCACCGCTGGAGAAACATTAAGTGGGTGCAAACTACATTGAAGATAGGTAAATATTTATGGCAAATAGGTTTTTCTCCAAAACTGCTTTATTTCAATATGATGTAATTTAGAGAGGAGAGGATATGTAGGAAGAATCAAATTTCAGCAACTAATTTCCAGTGTTCTTTTAACTCAAGGTCAGCTGCAATTTAAACCTGTATTTTTGAATTCTTCCTTTGGAAATAAATTGTGTATTTTATCCTGTTTTGCTACAAATGAGAAATTGCTCAACTGCTTTATGGAGAAATCTGCAGTACTGTTTTTCAAATAGTTTTAAAATAAGTTGGAGAAATTGAAGTTTAATTTCAGTTATATTGCTTTCCTGGCACTCCCAAATCCCCCCACTCCGCACCTCCAAATATATAACATAGATATTCTGTGTGGGCTTCTCCTTTTAAAAAATGGCATTACCACTTCACGTCTTTCAGTCTTGGATGGCATAATTACCAACTTCAATACTACAGGCATTTTATTGAAAATATTAATTGGACACCGTTTACATCAGGAAAAGTTCTATAAGTGAGGGGAAAATGTTTGACTGTGTCTCACTTCTTTTGTCAATTTGAAATATTTGTCCCATGTATGTAAACCAATGTATGTTGACATATCACAGTTTTATTCATTCAGCAGTCATTTAATGAGTGTCTACTATATGCTAGGCTCTGCCTGGGCATGGAGGTGGGGGCGGAGGGGGGCAAGGAAGTGGGTTACAAAGCCAGATAAGTCAAAGTTCTTTTTATGGGAAGAAAAAGCTGATGTAAGAAGAGGGGGTTAATCAGTTCAGGATTTTAGAACTGTAATGTTTCAGATGTTCACAAGAGATGCCCTTGGTGTAGCGAGGAGGGACATCTATCACTCATTGAGTCTTTGATATATACTAAGCCATCCTTTTGCCCTTTCAATAACTTGTATGATGAAAGAACATGATTTTGGAAAATCAAAAATGATTCTGCAGCTCTTTCAGGTGGTCATTACAGATGTATTATCTTGAAAGTCTCCATCAGATTCTTAAATCCTTCATACATTACAAGATTAAATGGGTTTATAAGATTACAAAATAGATATAGTAATGAACATTTTAAAAGTAATAAATGGATTTCCACCCTGAACTTTTTAATATTTGTTTAGATCATCTCCTACTAATGAATTGCTTTAGGTTAATTATGCAGACTATATGGGAGGGAGAGGTGGGAAACCTAGCTTCTCAGACATGTGATTAAAGGCTGTGAAAAATGAAAGCAGAGAGAATTGAGGGGCAGAAGCTCATCTCCAGCCAGGGTTCCCGCTCCTTTCAGGCAAGAGCCAGTAAGGAATTGGAAGGATGCCATCTGTCATTCCTCGGTAATCAACCCTGGCATTTATCTGCATCTCTGTTTTAGACCCCGTGGTGTTTTAGATGCTTCGGATTGACTGCCCTATGAACCTTTAGTGAAAAAAAGAGTTGTGATGGTAGATGAAACTATGGGTATTTAAAAACTGAGACATTGACTTTAAGTGCAAATTGCTCATGCGTTCAGAGAGTTTGCTGTATGACACTTGCGTTCTGGTTTCAAATGTGTAAACATATTAGATAGTTGGGATGATGTGAGCTTATTCTGCTTCTGGATACTTAAGGAAAAGGTGAAAACAAAAATGTAGCAGTGTTAGCACCAGCCTATATCTACCTCATTGCCTAAATGTAATTTTTAGAACACAGAAGAGTAAATTTGAATTTCTAAAAACAAGTCAAAGCCTATGGACAATGGCATTAAAAGCATTTTTTTTTAATTTTCTGCTGATTGACAAAAACATCACAGAAAATTCTTTGATTTCCCTTAATAGTGTCAAGAGAGCCTGTTCCTATCAATTACTGAAGCCATAAGGAAACTTTTTTAAAGTCAGAACTATCATAATGAGGTAAGTACCAGTATTTTTTTTTTGCTCTTTTTAAGTTGTGATAAAATACACATATTTGCCATCTTAAACATTTTTAAGTGTACAGTTCAGTAGTGTTAAGTATATTTACGTTGTTGAGCAACCAATCTCTAGAACTTTTTCATCTTGCAAAACAGAAATTCTATATGCATTAAACAACTCCCCATTTTCTCTTTCCCCCAACCCCTGGCAACCACCATCCTACTTTCTGTTTCTATGAAATTTATTACTCTAGATACCTCATATAAGTGGAATCATATAGTGTTTGTCTTTGTGGCTGGCATATTTCACTTAGCATAATATCCTCAAGGTTCATCCTTGTAGTAGCATGTATCAGAATTTTCTTCCTTTTACAGGCTTAATAATACTACTCCAATGTATGTATATACCACCTTTTGTTTATCCATTCTTCTGTTGATGGACATTTGGGTTGCTTCCACCTTTTGGCTGTTGTGAATAATGCTGCTATGAACATGGGTGAAGTACCAGTACTTTTATCAGAGGAAAATTATTTCCAAAAAGGTATCTTTGTTTCCTTGGAAATAAAAGTTCTTACTTGAGCCAGGATCTGTTAGAAAATACTGTAAGGTCTCATTGAGGTCTTCTTCATTGAAATAGTAGTCCAGATTATAAAATCAATACCTATAAAGATGAAATATTCTTGTAGAATAGATCAAAGTTGAAAATAGAGACTATGCAGACACTGAAAATACAAAATTCTTCCTTACAGCTTGTGGTAAGAAATGACATATGTCAGCAGCATCTAGGTATTCAAGTGTGACATTGTAGTAAATGTAGCTATTTAGCAATGTGTTTTAACAATTCTGTATATACAAGTATATATAGTCTCATAATGTAGTAAGGGCAGGACTAAGCCTTCCAAATGACAGGATTTAAATTGGTTATTAGTGATCATAATAGCTACAATTAATTGGCAATTCCAGGAGAAAAATGCAAGCTAGAAGGAATTTTTGTCTAGCATAGTTCAGACCTATGTATGCTGTCAATGGAAAAGACAAATGACTTTAACCCTGACAGCCAATCCATGACACAGTTGATTTAGGTTGTAGTCATCTAAATGATCATATCACTGGTCATAAACACAGCAAGGTCTCAAGATGAATCTATGACAGTAGGTGAATCCATTTATTATTATTATTATTACAAGTTTATTCCGATTCTTGCCTTTTCTATTCCTAAATAAATAATATTTATTATTAACACAAAATAATTTAACTTAAATTGATGTATTTAAACTTATGCAAAAAGTAATGGGAATTAAGACCTTATATGAATAGATGGGAGGAAAAGTGATGGGAAATCATTTAGGAAGGAGAGGATAGCATTGTTAGAGAATGAGAAAAGATGGATGGCACTTCTAAAATAAGTGAAAAGAATGAATTTTCTGAATATGGGAAAATGCAAAGGAAGAAAACCTCCCAAAAGAGTATCTCGTACCTGGAAAAGACGTGAAGAGAAGTGGCCTGTCATGTACTATTTCTGGCATTCTGTGTTTTGCAGTGAAGTAAATTCTTGGATATGCTGCCTAAAATTTTAATGGAAGAGGCTTACTGTGGGCAGTAGCGAACTGACTTGGGCAGTGTTCTGACTTTGTTTTCTTTTCCTGCCAATCTTCCTGAAGCCTGTAGGTTTTTGTCAATTTCTAAACCCAAACTAAATTTTCATTTCTCAACTAGGTAAGACTTTATTGTCTGTTTAAATCTTGTATGCTGCCAGATGAAGAAGATGGCTTTTGGTTATTGTTGCCTCCTAAAAGTTTGGGGAAATTCACAAGGATGATATTATCTAACACGTGATGACTTTCCCCCAAGGCAAATCATCTCATTCTTCAAGATCTTCCATAGAAACAGGGATGTTCAAAGGTATTTTAATGCAGAGTATCTTTGAAAAAGATGTAAAAAAAATCAGAATTCTACAGCATTTTTTATTAAGTAATTTCACCATAGATCTAAAAGTAGAAAGGTGGCTTTTATGGTCGGTGGTTGAGACCACATTTCATGACTTGCTCTTTTGGTCACCTGATGGGATAACCCAGGTCTTTAGGGAGGGAAAGGTTTCATGGATACTGTGGGGTCTTAACTCGACCTTAATTTGCATTTAATTTGAGTTTATTCTGTTAAAGTTTCAGGCATATACTCTCTGTTGTGGAATTTAAGACAATTTAAACATAGACTCCCTCACTCTATTCAACCACAAAGAGTTGTGAGCGCTTACTCAAAAAATGGTCCAGGCACTGATCTGGATTACAATGACTTATGGAAACTGCACTCAAAACACAGTCAGACTCCAAAATGAGCTGGAGGCATAGTCAATAGTCGGAATACTTGGAAACAAGGTCTAGTAGCACTATGTCCCGAGTTCCCAGGAGCACTGAGGATGGAGAGTGGTGAGAAACATTCACAGGGGAGAGGATGTTTGAAAGAGAGTTGGGAGGCGGAGAGTAGGAGTTTGTCAGGTGGAGAGAGGGAAGGACTTTGCAGGTAGAGAAGAAAGCATGGAAACCATACCAATACATGGAGCCATGGATCAGCACGCTGGCTATAGGTACTATAAGAGGAGACTCTTTTCAGAATTTGGCACTACATGTCCTTTTGCCTCAGTTTGAACAATGTTTATCATCTATGTACACCTGGCCAGAAACTGCTCATCAGTGGAACAGCCGTCTCTTCTGACTCTTCTTACACGTTCATGGAAGGAAGGCCCAGGCTCGGAATTACTCTCTGCATTCCAGTTTGTAATATTTTTACCTCTTGGCAGCAGAGGGTCCTTTTCTGAGCATCTGTAATCATAAGTTTTTAGGCAAGTACATATTTTGAAGCATGAGCCAGAAGAGAAAACAGTCTGTATAATACGAGGCAAATCTCATAGTGAAATGGCAGAATAGTTGTCGTTCTTCCACCATCTGGTGGCATCAAAATGAAAATGACAGCTTCTCGATGTACAACCTCAAGCTGCTCATTGCAGTTCTATCTTATGAGTCATAGGACATAACTAATCTTTGTTCATGCTATGTGCTTACGTATGTGTTTTAAGCTTTTGTCTTCAGGCTAAAGGAATTGGCCGAGAAAAGATTCTTCATTCTAGTGTTCCTTCTAGGGAACTTTGATAGATGATGTAGTGACTAACTGAATAGTATTGTTTTCAAAATTCAGATGTTCTGGTCCATTTAAAGACATGCAGACATTAGAGAATTTATAACTGTTGCTTCATAGACTATGTATTATTTACTTTCTTTATCTTATGTCCACATTTAAGAAAAATTCTTAAAATGCCAAATAATGCTCTTCAAAAAGCTACTCCAGTTCTCAGGTATTTAAAAATTCTGATATAGTGACCCAGTCATTCCACTCCTAGGTATATACCCAAGAGAAACGAAAACATGTTCACATAAAAACTTGTACATGAATATTCATAACAGCAGCATTCATAATAGCAAAATGTGCAAACAACCCAAATGTCCAGCAACTGATGAATAATAAACAAGATGTGGTATATCTATGCAATGGATTGTTATTTGGCAATAAAAAGAATGACATATCTCTATATACTATAACGTGTGCGAACCTTGAAAACATTATGCTAAGTGAAAAAAGCCAAACGCAAGGGCCACAAATTGTATGATTCCACTTATATAAAATGTCCTGAGTAAGCAACTCTGTGGAGACAGACAGTAGATTAGTGTTTGCCTGGTGCTGGGTGGAGGTTGGGGGAAATGGGAATGAGGAGTGACTGCTAATGAATGGGTGTGGAGTTTCTTTTGGGGTGTTAAAAGTGTAAAATTAGATTGTGATGGTTGCATAATTTAGTGAATATACTAAAAGGCACTGAACTGTGTACTTTAAATGTGTGAAATTTATGGTATGTGAAATAAATCTCAATAGAGTTATAAAAAAAACATACTAAGTATGAATATCTATATTATCTTACAGGTACCTTAGTGAAAGTCTTGTGTACTAATATTTTGACACGTCCTTACAGAATTTACCCTAACAGTAGAAAGAGTCATGGCCTGTGCTATCAGGAGATCTAGATTCTTGCCCTGGATCTGCTGCCGGTCAGCTATATAGCTCTATGCAGCTGCATGAGTTTAGGCAAGTTTCTTATGCCTGGACCTTGGGTTCTTTATCTGTGAAATAAGGAAGTGGCTTAGGAGGGCTCATAGCTGTCTTTCAGCTCTCTGAGTTTATGTGCTTGTACAATAAGGTGTATAAATATTGAGGCAGTTTTGGAGACAGCTTTATCCCTCATTGCTGGAGTGTAATAAATAGCAGTGGGGTTTTCAGAGGCCACCTTACCCCATCATGTTCAAGTGTGTCTTGTTAAGTAAAGTATATGTAGAGCCGGACTTCTGAACCTTGGCATGATTGGCACGTGAGGCTGTATAATTCTTTGCTCTGGGGGGCTGTCCTGTCCATTGTAGGATGTTTAACAGCAGCCCTGGCATCTACCCTCTAGCTAGCAATAACATCGCTTCCCAGTCACAACAATCAAAAATGTCTCTAGACTTTACCAAATATCCCCTGGAGAGCAAAATCATTCCCAGTTGAAACCTGTGGTGTAGAAGATGCTAGAATAACAATATGAAAATAACTAAAAGATGTGCTCTCTACCTATGAAGAACTAATAAGGTAATGTATGTGCAAAAAATATCATTTGGGGGATCTTTAATTTTTCAGATGATTAAAAGAAGAGGAAGGATTTTTGTTTTGTTTTGCTGACATTTACTGTGTTTATCAAAGTCATATTTAATCTGCTGTTGTCATGGATAGGAGAAGGGCAGAAAGGAAATAGACTAAGAGCTGTCAGATCTTTTTTGGAATGAAGTAGGATGCTAGGAAATATATACAGACACAATTTTTAAAAGAAATAAGAAAAAACCAAAACCTATGAGGAATGTCTAGGAATTGAGGGCAAGAGAACTGGAAGGTACCTATGTTTACTTCTTGGTTTCTTCCAAGTAA